CTAGGCCATGGTGGACAGCCCAGCCAGCGATCTTCAGCACAGATCTCTGTATGCCACTAGGCTGGACACCATAGGGATGACCTCTCTGCCTGCTCTCAATTTCCACCATTCAACTCTCCAGCCACAGTCCCCATCTCTCCACCGCACTCCCCTTCGTATTCTGACCCCTGCAAGTCTTCAGTAACACCTAGACCTGCAACCATGTCCCTGTTCCCATTTTCATTCTTATCTAGTACAGATGCCATGTCCATCCTTAGAATCACTCCCCCCATTGGTTTCCCTGCCCATATCCTCCTGTTGCATTTGCCAGCTTTGCTCATTTGTTGTGTTTTTAGATCCCTGCTTGGCCATGGCTCACAGCTCCCCTTTGAGCTCAGAAGGTCCAGCCAGCAGGGCGGCTCCTCTCTCCTGCACTCCACACACCCTGCCAGTCCCACACAGTGACGGAAAAGCCACGAAAGAGAAGCAGGAGGAGAGATCGCTGGAGTAAAAAAGGAAAAGGGGGGCCAGAAAGCCAGGGATGTGGCTTAAAGAAGGAACGAGAAAGAGGGCAGTGTTTGTGACTCAGTAATAGGGCGCTGGTCCCATATACTGAGGGTGGTGGGTTCAAACCCAGTCCCGGCCAAACTGCAACAAAAAATAACCAGGCACTGTGCCAGGCGCCTGTAGTCCCAGCTACTTGGGAGGCTGAGGCAAGAGAATTGCCTACGCCCAAGAGCTGGAGGTTGCTGTGAGCTGTGACGCCACCTCACTCTACCGATGGTGACAAAGTGAGACTCTGTCTCTAAAAAAAAAGAGAGAGAGAGAAACAAGAAAGAGTGGAAAAGTGGCTGACACAATGTGAGAGTAAAAGATAGAGCAAATTAAGAAAGGAATACAGAAAGAGAAAGAAGGGAAGAATTAGCAGAAATACAAGCTGGCTTTTCCTCAATGTATACACCCAGATGCATTAGACGGAATCACAAAAGAGCAATGGTGGTTAGACAGCCACAAACATACACTGCAATATTTAGACTTAATAAAACAATTAGGCTTATTAAAACGATTTGTTTTGCATTTGCTAAAAATGGGCTGTGCTGATCAGCGTGGGAGTTCTCCACAGCCCGTGTTCTCACTTCCATTCTCTGCACAGCACACTGGGGGCCACAGGAGGAAAGCCAGGAACAGGCCTGGCCACCATGAGCTTATCTATTTATGACTATAAATATGTAATTTTCAGAGAAATTTTTGCTTCAATAATTCAGAAGCTTCCTCTTTCTTCCATTAAATAATTAATAGCAATAAATGTTCAAATTATCTATTTAAAATTATTTTTAAATTATTCTTTCAACACTTTTGCCTAATTTGACTCAGATGTACTCATGCAATTCTGTTCGAGATTGCCAGGTCACAGGAGGACAAAATCTTGTACCAAGAAAAAAAAATCAACAGTCATACTGCTGTTTTCAACAAAAAATGCTGAGATGTGTACAGACACACAAGCACATATACATATGTATATAAAGAAAATCAATGTGCTCCATGATATCATTGATTTAAATTCTTGGTGCAAGTTCTGAATCTCTGCTCAGAACGGGTGGGACTGAAGAAGCAAAGTCTCCTTTGCTTGTTTGTTTGGCACGTGTACCTGGGCATTCACTCTAAGTGGTGTACACCAGTTTCATTATGAACTAGTGCTTAGCTTGAGGGAGTGTGGCAATCAGAGCAGTTCAAGGAATAAGTAAGGCACTATAAAAACAATGACAATTATTGTGCAATGTACAAGGATGGTTAACATATATTATTTCTTTTTTTTTTTTTTTGAGACAG